ACTTTGTTGCGACTCCAGCTCTGAGATCCCGGCTGACTGAAAACAGGTTTCTGGGGTTTTGTTTAGCTTCTATATTTGTTACAATGTTTCAAACTGCAAGCTCAGAGGCCGGCAGCGCAGGCGGGGAACGTTGGAGTCCTATATCACTGAAGCAAGCAAGCCTCCTGTTAGCTTTAAGCTGCTTGGCTGCCGGCTGCCATCTTGGCTGGCAGTTAATTTGCATATCGCCCTGATTAGCCAATGGGAAGGGTAGCAGATGTACGGCTAATTACCATGTTTCTCTTTTATTAGATAGGATAGCTCCCAGTAGTAAAATATATGCCAGTACTTGTCAGTGTCCCAAATGGGGGGATGTAAGCACCTAGATACAGGATGATTGGCAGCCATGCTCTCAAGAAGCAGCTTTTAAAAGTATGCAAATATGTATACAGTCTCTGGGACCCTGCTACCCACCAGAGCCAGGTGATCTGGAGGTGTCCCCTGGTGGCAATTGCAAAAATAAGGGCTCCAGATGCATATAAATGCTTTTTTTCTGGAGCAAGGCAGAGGGAGAGCACCAAAAGGTATCCAGAGCCTATAATCCTTGAGAACAGCTATTTAGGACACTAGACTTGTGCCAAGCATAAGGCCTGCCCCTCAGGTCACAGCTCCAAGACAAGCAAAAAGGTCGTGCCTGGTCAGCAAAGCTGCTGGCTGTCTGTCCTCTTTCCTTCAGACTCGGTTTGCTACTTTTAGCTGACAAAGCCTTAAGTTCCCTAACAGCAGACCCAAATCCAATTCAACTATCTGGCAGCAAAGATACTTGGTTTTCCTGCCTAGCCCCAGGATGGTGAAACTGTGCTGGGGATGAAAATAGGAGTATATATATGAATTGGATAGTTCTCTTAAGCAAATTCATTCTATATAATAAAAGGCTAATATGCAAATCGGCCAAACGACCGGTCACTATGATGTGCACTGACCACCAGGGGGCAGCTCCTGCGTTGAGCTGCCCCCTGGTGGTGGTCAGTGCACTCCCACAGGGGGAGTGCTGCTCAGCCAGAAGCTGGGCTCATGGCTGGCGAGTGTAGCAGTGGTGGCGGGAGCCTCTCCTGCCTCCGCTGCAGGTGGGCAGTAAAGAGCAAGGGGTCCCAGACTGTGAGAGGATGCAGGCCGGGCTGAGGAACCCCCACCCCCCTAGTGCATGAATGTGGTGCACTGGGCCTCTAGTAGCTAATAAATATACTGAAAGAGTAATGATTCTCAGACTTACCAGTTAGAAATATGTGAAAGGGTCTTACGCAATACTTCTGCCAGTGACTCTGCCCCATGACCAATTTCAAAACAATAAACCAAGAGAAGTATTTGCAATGCATATAACACATAAAGAGTTCATTTCCCTAATATATAAAGAATTCCTAAAAACTATAAAGAAAAAGTAGACTATAAAACACACAGAAAAAGAACCTGACTCATAATTAGACAACTACAAATTAAAACTAAATTAAGACACAATTTTTTAGCCTATCAGACAAGCAACGATCCAAAAGATTGGTGAGAGTATAAGCACAGGCACTCTCATACATTTCTAGTGGGAACATAAATTTAAAGTTGTTTTAATAATTTCCTTTTTCACTTTTTATGGTGAAATTTCTGGCAAAATAGGAAGAAAATGATAATGTATAGCTAATTTTATATAAAAATGCCGACAGAATATTTGATGTCCACAAAAACCATTCTATCTAATAAAGAGGAAATATGCTAATTGACCCTCACACCGTTGCAAAGATGGTGGCGCCCACAGCCAATAAGGAGTGAATATGCTAAATGACTGCCCCGCCCTCAAAGATGGCAGCGCCCACAGCCAATAAGGAGGGAATATGCTAATTGACTGCCATGCCCTCAAAGATGGCGACGCCCACAACCAATAAGGAGGGAATATGCTAATTGACTGCCATGCCCTCAAAGATGGCGACGCCCACAACCAATAAGGAGGGAATATGCTAATTGACTGCCATGCCCTCAAAGATGGCGACGCCCACAACCAATAAGGAGGGAATATGCTAATTGACTGCCACACCCTCAAATATGGCGGTGCCCACAGCCACAAGATGGTGGCGCCCAATCTCCCCCCAGCCACCCAGGGCTGGCCCGAAGGACGACCAAATGACTGAACAGCAGGCTGCGTGGGGCGACCAGGCTGGCAGGGGGGCCATGAGGGTTGGCCAGGCCGGCTGGGGGGGTGCAGTTGGGGGCAACCAGGACAGCAGGGGGGGCAGTTGGGGGCGATTAGGCTGGCGGGGGGGCAGTGAGGGGTGTAACCTGGCCGACAGGGAGGGGACAGTTGGGGGCAACCTGGCCAGCAGCGGGTGGCAGCTAGGGGTGACCAGGCCGGCACACAGAGGCAGTGAGGGGCAATAAGGCCAGTGGGGAAGGGGGCAATTAGGAGCGACCAGGCAGGCAGACCAGTGAGCGATTAGGAGCCAGCGGTCCAGGATTGTGAGTGGGATGTTCGACTGCTGGTCTAGACTGGAGAGGGTGCAGGCTGGGCAGAGGGCCGCCCCCTCCGTGCACAAATTTAGTGCACCGGGCCTCTAGTTTATATATAGTTCCTGACAACTAAGAATGCTTTCAGAAACATTCATAAAAAGGTACTGAGATGAACAAGCAATTTATAAGAAAATAAGTACAAAAGGAAGAAAAATCTTAACCTCATTTGTAATCAATGAAATACAAAAAGAACCCATACCATTTTTCAACAACAGTATCATCAAAGATTCTTTTAAACTGTCAATCCCTACAGTCAACAAAATTGCAGACATTACTGGTAAGACTTTTCTGCAGGACAATTTTACAATTCGTATCAACAAAAATTCTTTCTCAGAGTCATCCTAGAAATTTATCCTGGAGAAATGTTACAACTGTGGGGAAAACACTGTTAGCTATAAACATAATATGTGTTGGGATATATTTATACATGAAGAACTATGAAACCACTAAGAGTGTACTGACAGGGTAAATATGTAAGATATGCTATATATTTAAAAAATCAAAGAGTATGTATGCTTGAAAGGATCTCACTTTTAAGAAGAGATTGAGAGATGTTAGGTCAAAGAGGATGGTAAGTCAAATAAAACTTATAAGACTCTAGTTAATTTAATACTAATAAAATACTTAAATAAGTTTTAAAAACCTGAAGAGTAAAGAAGAAAAAGTTCTTTAATACCTGTGTAGGAGTTATTACCTTCCTAAGTGTAACTCACAAAATAATCCTATATAAGAAAAGGCTAATATGCAAATAGACCGAATGGTGCCGAACAACAGAACCGCTTTCTATGACGTGCGCTGACCACCAGGGGGCACGTGCAGAACATGGTAGGTGTCAGCAGCAGATGGCAGAGTGCAGAAAATGGCAGGCGTTGGCCGTGGTGGGATGGTAGAGCAGGTGAGCGAGGGCGCCAGACCAAGGTGGGGAGCCGGTTGCTGTCATTGGGGAGGTTACTGAATTCTTTGTTCCTGCATGCCACGGTCCCACCCAGCACTCGCACCCACTGCTGGCACTGGCCCCAATCCCTCCGCGCCGTGAGCAGATGCGAGTGGGGCTAGTGCCGTCAGTGTCAGTGCATGGGAGCAGCGGCGGCAGGAGTGGGGCTGCTGGCAGACAGGGGACTAGGGGCTGTGACAGGGGCACCAAGGATGGGCCGAGACCCGCCCCTGTGCTCACCACAGCCTTGCGGCCCACAGTTCCCTTCAAGGTGCACGAATTTGTGCACTGGGCCCCCAGTTCATATATAAAAGCAAACTAAATAAAAGGTAAAAAAATTTCTGTTTTCATTCCAGCTACTCCTTCAAATGATATAGTTGTGGGATGGAGATATTGAGAATGCTGGTGAGCAGATTGCATTGGTTAGCACTTACAAGACATTCTGTACCAACACTGTTTATTCTTCAGCAACTCTATGAGATGGGGTAGTAATAATCTCATCTTAACCATGAGAAAATTATTAGATTGGCTAGATAGCTTACTTTACACTTTAAGTAACCAGAAAGTAACTGAACACAAATTTATCTGGCTCCAAACTCTATACTCTTTCCACAGAATCATGCTAAACCTGCTGATATTATAGAGCTATTTTAAGCCCTTAACTATCTGGTGCCACTCTTAATTAACAGATGAGGATCAAGAAGAAAAATAGGTTAGACTAGAAAAATAAACTGTCCATGCTTACACTAAGATAATTAGAAGAAAAAGATGTCCCAATATTCATTTCAGTGCTATTTCCAGTATTCTATGTTTTCCTTCTCTTCAAAAAGAAAAAAAAAAAAGATAGTTGAATATCCACTACATTGAAGATGCTCAAGACTTCCTATTCTTGTTCCTGCAGAAAAGCTTGAAGAAAGAGAGAGAACAACCAAAATAAGATCTAGAGAATATAAAACAAGCGATCTACACCAATTACCAATTAAGTAAAGGATTCTTCCATGTAATTTTTTATTTTAACAAAATATTTGCATGTCAGAATTAATGTTCTATATGCACATCATAGACACACCCACAGCTACAGAAATTATAAAGTATTTCAAATATTCAGAAAACATAAAGAATCATGTCAAACAACCATCTTTTCACCATCCTTGTGTATCCATCCCCGCCACTATCATCAAATCTTTTCCCCTACCAGAAGTTATCTGTATCCTGAATTTGTTACACCAATGAATTTCTTCACATTCTTATTTTTCTGTGAATCCTACACTGTAGAGAAATAAGTTCACAGGTATGTTATAAAGTATATGCACATACATGTCACTAAAAATGGCAAAGTGGGGAATTCTAAAACTCCATCCTTCCACAAAAGCAATGAATAAGCGGACAGTAACTATCAGAATCAGTTTTTTGGAACTCTGGAATCAAGTCAACAGTTACAATCTGGGTATTGCTTAATGAAGAATGCAGCTTCAGAATTTTAGGGGAAAACTGGCATTTTAACATACTCACTTACCATGCCCCACTCCCCAATTCGGCAGCAGTCATGAAGACATCAGCCTGGTGCAGACTGCTGGTACCAGAGCGAACTACATATTAGACCTATTCGTAAAGAACTGTGTGGTTGTGTGCTTTGTCCAGTTTGGTAAGTCCCTAAAGATTCAGTTCAAGGTCTTAGCGTTGTTTCACCTTCCCTGGAGCTTCCCCAGGGGAGAATCATTTCTGGACAGCAGTATTTGTCAAAAGCATTTAAAGGCAAATGTATTAGCACAAAGAGTAAGAGTTGGGACTAGCAATAGCCAAACAGGAAAGCCTGGAAAGAAAGAAGCTGAGAAATATATTTGGGAAAAAGGGGATTTGAAAAGTTCCCATACTAGAAAAACTAGAAGGCTATGTGTATACCTGGGACCTAATACATGCTTGAAAAATATGTGAGAAGACCCTAAACTATCAACTTGGGTGACTATTAAAATGCCAAGCAAGCAGAAAATGAAGACTAATGGGCAAAACTATAACTGGCCTAAGAGTTGAAAGAGTGTCCCAAAATAGAACCAATCTCTACAAATACAAACAGCAGAAAAAGAGCAAGTGGCGATCAACAGGTTAATAATTTTAGAAACAGCATTTGGGCTACCTGAGAAAAGTAGGGCCCTCTTTTCCCCTCCCCCAAGCATGGCAGTTGTGGCTTTTACCATCATACCAAAGCCCAAGAATTGTCCTCTAAAGGAACTGGGCCATCTGATTTTATAATTCTGGAGTGGGCAAATTTTTCTTAAGCAATACATATAGTAAGAGTACATGCAAGTTCTTCCCAACTGCACAGAACACATTTACCCAAACTGATCAGATGTATTATTGCAACATAAAGAAAACCTTGCAAACAAATTTCAGATCACTGAAGAAATCACAGTGGAACTAAAAATCAATAAGCAAAAGATAACAAGAAAATACCCAAGTCTCCAGAATTAAACAATAGCTTACTAAATAATCTTGGGTAAAAAATTAAATCACATGGGAATCAGAAAATATTTTGAACTTAATGATATTAAAGATAAGAAATTTCCGAACTTGTAAAACATAAAATTTTATTTTATAACTACAGGCCCAGTGCACAAAATTTGTGCACTCAGGCGGGGGGAGGGGGGGGTGTCCCTCAGCCTGGCCTGTGCCTTCTCGCAGTTCGGGAGCCCTCGGGGATGTCCGACTGACGGCTTAGGCCTAAGCCGTCAGTCGGACATCCTTAGCGCTGCTGCGGAGGTGGGAGAGGCTCCCGCAACTCCTGCTGCGCTCGCCATCATGAGCCCGGCTTCTGGATAAGCAGTGCTCCCCCTGTGGGAGTGCACTGACCACCAGGGGGAAGCTCCTGCATTGAGCATCTGCCCCCTGGTGGTCAATGCACATCATAGCGACCAGTTGTTCTGCCGTTCGGTTGATTTGCATATTAGCCTTTTATTATATAGGATAAGCTACTGCATAGACAATATTGCAGAAACTTATCTGTTCTGTAAGAAAAGAGCTATCTAAAATGTATAACATTTTTCTGAATAGAAGCAATTTAATAAGACCAAGAGTAGATACGTTTTAAAGACTTTCTATATGCCAGGCTTAAGTATAATTTGATTCCCAAAATAACTCTATGAAGAAGGTTATAAGTGCTTCTGCCAATACTACAGATGCGTAAATTAGCATACAAAAGGCTATGTAACCTTCCCAAGATTATAACGTTAAAATATGGCAATGCCTGCCTGGATTTCAGCCTAAGCTTACACTAAAGACATGTATGTCATTAAAGACACCCTTTCCAGCACATTAGTAACCCCCACTGGCCAAAAACACACACAAAACACCTCATTTTAAAAAAACCATAACAAGGGGGATTATTCATTCTTCCAAACTCATATGAGACACACACACACACACACACACACACACACACACACATATCTGGATCAGATATTGTACTGAAGATGGAACTTTGAAAACAGTCCATTGCTCAAGGCACAGAAGTGAGAACACTTATGTTTCTTTTATTTCCCCAACATAACAATGAGATGACGATGAACATTTACAAAAGAATGAAGGTGCCCAGCCAGCGTGGCTTAGTGGTTGAGCATCGATCTATGAACCAGGTCACAGTTCAATTCTCGGTCAGAGCACATGCCAGGGTTGCGGGCTTGATCCTCAGTGTGGGAAGTGCAGGAGGCAGCCAATCAATGATTCTCTCTCATCATTGTTGTTTCTCTCTCATCTTTCTCCCTTCCTCTCTGAAATCAATAAAAATATATTTTTAAAAAAGAATGAGGGCATAAAAAGGTTGGAATATAAGAAAGGGTGATATTGGTGATCAGAAATTGAGAAATTCAAGGCAGATATATGGAAACAAATTAGCAGAGAAATCAATCAGATGGGAGCAAATTAGCAGAGAAATTAAGAGAGAAAATCACAAACCAAGATAAGATAGGTATCTCTCCACATTTTTTTCATGGAGGCCGAAAGAAGAACCACCTCTTCATCAAATATAAACAGCAGAAAAAGGGCAAGTGGCGATCATCAGGTTAATAATTTTAGAAACAGCATGTGGGCTATCTGTGAAAAGTAGGGGCCTTTCCCTTTCCCGGGCTGGCAGTTGTGGTTTTTACCATCATACCAAAGCCCAAGAATTGTCCTCTAAGGAAGTGGGCCATCTGTCTGGGTACATTCCTTATGAAAGTGTCAGTGCCTGAGAGACAAACAGGATTGTGGAAGTGTCAGTGCCTCAGAGACAAACAGGATTGTAAAAGTGTCAGTGCCTGAGAGACAAACAGGATTTAGACTGGACTATCTCTGAATATCATAACAGATATATAGGGATAAGATGGTGAGAAGAGATAATTCCTAATAGAATTTCTATATTAAAGCACTCTACACAAAATAAAGCCCTCCTTAATTTGACATGTGTGGAGGTTCCCAACCTACCCACAACCTACAATGAGTAATCACTACATTGAAACACTTTGCCTACTTACGCTGAATGCATCCATAGCCCCTTCCCTTTTAGGGGAGAGGCCTACCCCAGGTCTACTTAACTTTAGAGAAAACCAAGCCAAATACCATTACTTATTAACTTAATTCTTCATCTCAAAATATTAATGGAAAACCAAAGGCAACAGATATTTGGGAAAAGATCCAAAGAAAATAAAATAAACCAATTCAAGTAACCCTGGTAGAAATAGAGACAATTAAGGGTCAAAATGGTATACTTAAAGTATACTTGAATAAAACAAGAACAAGATGCTTTAAAAAAAAAGGTCAGAAAACAAGAAAGGATTCTTGTTAATTCTCATTACTTATTAATAACTTATATACAGGGTCCAATAAAATATAAGCCTATCTAAATCTATATTAATAGCCATATCTACTTAAAATATATAAAGCAAATATTTCTCATTTTTAAAGGAGGCTGTTTATAGAAATCTTATAAAGACAGTATAGGGATTTTTGAAAAATCAACTTTATTTAGTTGGTATGACAGTTTATAACTACGGTTAATAAATCTCAGGAGGTAAGATTTCAAATTATAGTAATGTATAAACTGTGGTGAATTAAAAAGGGGAGAGACTATAGCAGTCAGGAGACTACTCAATATATGGACAAGTTTCAAGACCTCTCTGATTCTTTCTTTCTTTTCAACCATTCATTCATTCATTTATTCTCTTTCTTTTTCTCTTATTCACTGACCCATCTGAATATTTTGGGGGAACCCACACTGAGGCAGGCCCTGTGAAAACAAAGGACAACCTGATCTCATAATTTGAACTAGATCTCAGAAGTCCTGTGGATAAAATCCTATGTAATAAAAGGCTAATATGCAAAAAGACTGAACGGCGGAACAACCGAACCAGTCGCTATGATGTGCACTGACCACCAGGGGGCGAGCGTGGAAAAAGGCAGGTGTCGACTGTGGTGGGATGGTGGAGCAGGTGAGCAAGGGCACCAGACCAAGGAGTGTGCCGGTCGCTGCCATCAGGGCGAACCTCTGGTGGTTACTGAAAATTCTTTGCTCCTGCACGCTCCCACCTGCTGCTGGCGCTGGAGCCTCCACTCATACCTGCTGCTGGCGCTGGCCCCAATCGCTTGGTGCCGTCAGCGGGTGTGAGCGGGGCTGGTGCCATCAGCACATGGGAGTGGCGGCAGTGGGAGCAGGGCTGCCAGCACACAGGGGACTGGGGTCCGCCGTAGGAGGGGCCAAGCAGGGGGGCGGAGGATGGGCCAAGACCCGTCCCTATGCCCACCGCAGTCTCGTGGCCCACAGTTCCTTTCAAGGTGCACTATGGGCCCCTAGTCTTCTATAACTTCAAATGTGCTTAAGAGAATAAACAACAGCAAAAGCCTGGTACCTTTTCTGATAAAAATTT